AACTCAGATAACATGACGCATGGTGGATTAGTTCTGGAAAATACATGTGTTTCTTTCATTCCATATCTCCCAAGAGACAATCATGGAAAGGGAAGTGGGGGATTTGCTCCAAGTTCTAGAGGGGTGCATCACCGCGAACCACCACCCTGCCACTGAATTGAAGTTTGTCCAGTTATCCATATTCAAATAGACCTGCGTAGCTCTGGGCCGCTGGTGGTAATTGTGTGCGCGGGGGCAAAGCAAATGACTAAAGCAAGGATACATTTATGCCCAAACACAATGTACACTAATGTCTTGTCTATCACGAATGGATTTAGAAACAATATAAAAGATTTGGGAAACATGAAAGCCTTCAGATGCTATGTTGCAATGGACTAATGTGTTCCAAATGGGTGCACATGTAATTAGGACACGTGCATTGCACGTGCGCGATTACTAGTTAATTTTATATTGTGAATCTTGATATTTTACTTTGACCAAATCTTATATGCAGATTAAAAAGAAATAGATGAAGTACATATACTTCAATTAATGGATTTATGATCATATCACCAATATATGATCATTTATTAGAGCCATTAGTACAACGTTCCTGCCCTCAGGATGGTCTGCGTTTTTGGCTGTCGGGTCTGCCCTTCTAGGGGGCATTTCCTAAACGGCGCCCGTTGCGCCCGTTACAGGCAACGGCGCAAACGGGCGCACACCCCCGCGCCGCCTGGGCCGGCCCGTTTCTGAGTAATATTATTCGAGGCAAAAAAACTAAGTTGCGTAAACGAGGTATCGAACCTTTGATCGACCGATTGAGAGTGCAGCGCACTAACCACCAGGATAACGACCAACTTGTGCACAATACATTCTTTCCATTATTTTAATCTTTATCTAGGTCGTTCGCTGGTCAGTTTCTGGGTGTTTTTTTTCTTGTTCTTTTTTCATTTTTCTTTTCTCATTTCCTTTTCTTTTTTTCTTTCCTTAAACGCGCAAACTTTTTATCAAATTCGTAAACTTTTTTTCAAATTCGTAAACTTTTTTCAAATTCGATGAACTTTTTTCAAGTTCAATGAATATTTATCAAAATTGATGAACTTTTTTCAAATTTGGTGAACTATTTTCTCAAATCCGATGAACTATTTTTTAAATCCGATGAACTTTTTCCAAATTCAATGAACTTTTTCCATTTGATGAACATTTTTCTAATTCGATGAACATTTTATTTCAAATTCCATGAACTTTTTTTCTAAATCAATGAACTATTTTTTCAAATCCGATGAACTTTTTTGAAATTCAATGAACTTTTTCTAATTTTGATGAACTTTTTTCAAATTCCATGAACTTTTTTTAAATCGATGAACTTTTTTTAAAATTCTATGAACTTTTTTCAAAACCGCTGAACTTTTTTTCAAAATCGATGAAAGGTTTTTAAATTTTGTGAACTTTTAAAAAATGGTGCACTAGTTTTCTAAATTGATGAACTTGTTTTTTCAAAATCAATGAACTTTTCAACTAATTTTCAGATTTACGTTAATGTTTCACTAAATAACGGTTAAGTATAACTTTTTCCTAGTAACAAAACAACAGAACCTGTTTGGTCTAGTGGTTCTCGCGTTAGGTTTTGAAGAAAAAGGACTGAGATCCTGAGTTCGAAACCTTAGCTATCGCGCTTTTTCTTCATGTTCACTTTTTTCGCGTCGTGGTTATTGTTCAGTCGAAGCTCACCTGGGCCGGCCCAGTAGCGCGACGCTTCAGCACCAAAACGCGAAACCGGCGCCTTTTCACTAAATAACAGTTAAGTATAACTTTTTCCTAGTAACAATTGGTCTAGTGGTTCTCGCGTTAGGTTTTGGAGAAAAAGGACTGAGATCCTGAGGTCGAAACCTAGCTATCGCGCTTTTTCTTCACGTTCACTTTTTTCGCGTCGTGGTTACTGTTCAGTCGAAGCTCACCTGGGTCGGCCCAGTAGCGCGACGCTTCAGCACCAGAACGCAAAACCGGCGCCTTTTCACTAAATAACGGTTAAGTATAACTTTTTCCTAGTAACAATTGGTCTAGTGGTTCTCGCGTTAGGTTTTGGAGA